AGCGAGGCATTTTGAAGTTACCTTTAAAATGGCAACAAATCATACAAAAAAACGGTGCATATTTGACCCAAATCGGATAATCCAAAGCATGTTAAATAAAGTCCTGAAGTTCATATAAAAATAATGGATTTCTTTTTCCCCAAACTAATATATACGCGAATGTTACCCTTGTGCGCATGCACAGGGCATATATTATACATATTTGATAAAATGGTGAATAAACATTCGAATTCGTAACAAACAATAACAAAAAAGAAAAGGTCTTCGTTCAATGTCAGCTGCTCATGCTGTTATTGATAACATTTCCTCTAACTAGTGAAAGTGAGCAATTTAGTAAATCGCTGGCGCATAACGCGGAACTCAAACTTAGTTGAACACAGCTTGCGCGCGTTACTAAAAGAAAATCATAGGGCTAGTGTTTGTTTAAATAACGTTAATAAATAAGTGTAAATTTAATAAAAAAAGTGTTTCTTTTTTGTAGTCCTTATGCTGTTGGCGAAAGCACAATTTCAGCGTATAACTCAACTAGCAAAAACACTAATTTCATCAATATAATAAAAAAATTTAAGAAAAAAATCATCAAATAATTCAAACTAACCCAAAAATTCTTAAGACTGAATTTATTCAAAAACAAATTATAACATGTTACTGGAGATATATGTGGAATGGCCTCCCTCCAAACGATTTCACGAAACGAAAAAAGTGGGTTTTTAAAGCAAAAAGAAAAAAAAGGATAAAAGTGATTTTTTGGAAGCAGAAGACCATTTTAAATATTCCTGGTAAGTTCACACTAAAATTAATAATGTAATATTTAAAATTAAATAGCAATCGTTAATAGGTTTTTACGGAAAAATTTGAGCGACAAAAGGAGACTCATAGCGACGTTTCAATTATTTTTGTTATGATAAGGGGAATGGTGAGGGAGCATTATCGTCGCCGAAGTAAAGAGGAGAAGTGGCGTTCACCTCTGTGATTTCTTGAAAAATTATTTGACCAAAATTTAAGTAAATAATAAAAATTCAACTTACACTTTAAACCCATGTAAGTTTATACAAATAAAAAATTATATGTAAAAAATATATTCATTTATAATGAAAAAAATAATATATGACATTCATTGATAATGAAAAGGTTTACAAAAGCTTCTATATGTCTCCAATTCAATATGTTTCTATCTTATTTTATGTTTGGTATTAAATGGCATCTTTTATATTCAACATTTCCTTAATTCTCGCTTTTGCATAGTTGAGCAATTGCTTTTCAAATTTTGCTGGCGTTGAGAATGCACTTTGCTAAGCATTGACCAACTTTTCAACTAAAAAATGAATGAAAATGAGTTCGGTTATTTGCAAATTTGTTATATTATACTTATTGGATATGCCTACTTCCTTCAATAAAACTTCCCAAGCTTTACCGCTTTATTCCGAAACAGTGTGTTCTATAGCTCTTGCTATTATAATAATTTGATGGAATTTAGTATTGCTTGTTACAATGAAATTTTTTTAATAACAAAAAAACTATTATAAATACTAAATTAGTAATCACATGATTACGTTTTTTTTCACGAAAATATGTCACTGTTATTCTTGTAAAAAGTCACATAAGAAATTAAAAAAATTTTCCAAACTTTAACGTTCACGTCCAATGCAACGAGAATTATATGTTCATCGCATTTAAATACGTTCAATTAATTTTGTTTTGACATTTCGTGCGACACGCACAAGGTACAATGCAGTCTTTATCTTAAGATTATAGGATTTGTTTATACATCTAATTTTATTTTTACATGAATTTTTTTAGCACGAGTTGAATAGGCGTTAACCACAAAAATATTACTCTTTACACGAATTGTTTTTTTAACACGATTTTCAATATTCTAAAATTTTTGTTTATCAATTTTTTTTTTTTTTTTTTTTTGGTATGTTGAACAGAGATGGACTTTTATCAATTTTTCTAATGAATTTTTCTGATGACTTTTTATTGTTTTTATGAATCACTCCTCAAAAAATATGCATTGTAAATTATGTCAATTATATGCGTATATGGGTGGGATTCCCCATATTATGCGTAGAGTAAAGACGTAACGTATTTTGTACGCAACTTAGTTTGGTTTTTCAAATAATAATTAAGTTTTTGTAATGAATCAAAATGTGTAGGCACGAAATACATTCTTAAGTGAACTCTAATAAGAATTTTTAATATCGTTTACTAATGTAATACTTTTCAGTTACTTTTTTTAGGTCGAAAACAATCCACTATTTTTCAAACTAGCCAATATCTTTTTTTATATGAATTTTGTGGGAATGTACCTCTTGTGCAAAAAGAAAACTAAGTATATTATATTACATTGTTTTAGGTTGATGATTTAAATAAAAATGGAATTGAAATATCTTAAAGACCATCGAATCTTCGCGGAATTGTTACATTCCACGCATCATAGATATTCGTTCGAAATTTGCATGCGACGTTCGTACAATTGATAGTAAATCGATCATAACTTGTGCTAGAATAATGTCGATAGACGTTCCAAGTTCAGATCGAGATTTTCTTCTTATTTTAGTTTTCGAATAATTTTATTATTATGCAATATTAGCGCAAAAAAGATAAGATATCAATTAGATCATGTAAATATACATATATTTAATATGAAATCAAAAGATTCATGAGTCAGACAAAGTTTTGGAGTAAATGAAACATGATTTTAAAATATACCAGATTCTCGTGAATACTTATAAAATTGAAAACGACTTACGAGTCTGCTTGCAAGTAAATAAAAAAGTTACTAACAACTTATCATTTACAATTTTAGATATTCATAGAAAATGGCAACAATAGATGGAAGACCGGCGCAATATGGTATATCGCTTAAGCAACTACGGGAGCTCATGGAGCATAGGGGTCGAGAAGGTGTCGCCAAAATAAGCGAACTAGGGGGAATATCTGAAATTTGCAAAAAATTGTACACCTCACCAAACGAAGGTAACGAAAAAGATGCTCATTGGGCTAGCTCAGCACTGACATATATAACAGAAATCCTTATTATTCCCATCACCAAAGGATGAGAGGTATACTCATTCTGTCGAAAAGTTTGCAACGCTTAGAAGGAAGTATCAGGGGCCCCACAGAGTGTATATTTCCTTGGTCAGCATCAAATTCTAAATCGATTTAAACATATCCGTCTGTGTAATGTCTGTTGTAAACATTCTCCTGGCCGCAAACATGAAGCTATTGACTTCCAACTTAGCAAAGATATTGGAAATTCTTCCACGCAGGTTGGGGTTGAAAATTGGCCAAATCGGTGGAAGGACACACCCACAGCATTACGTAATCTGAGAACGACTCTGTTTTTCAAAACGAATGAAAATTTGGTTTTATGCTCATTACTTATAAACTACAGTAGATAAATGTACAAAAATTTTAACATATATTCTCTGAGTATTGCTGTAGTACTCGTACACAAATGTAAAAATTGACCACTCCTAACATTATAGTGTATCAATATTCAATTTGTTTTTCAAATACCCTCATAACATGTGGAAACATTCTTCAAAAACACCATAAATAAAAATATTCCTCTGTCTGTTTGCGCAACTTTGTAGTATTTGTTGTAAATATTCTCTCGTTAGCGAAAATGAAGTAATTGCCTACAAATTTGCAAAAGAATTTGGAATTCTTCTAGACTTTTCAAAGGACAAATCGACAGCGCTCACATGCCTACACGGCAAAGATATTTTGAAAATAGAAAAAATTGGCTGCCCCCACTCCATATTACAGGGCATGAAAATTTTGTTCTTTTACTTCTTTTGTCTTTTTTAGGATAACTGTGATGGGTATAAAAGATTCGGCCCAGACCGAATTTAAATCCCTAATTGTTTTCAATTCATGTGAAAACAGAATTTTTATTTATAAAAAATGCTTACAAATAAGTAGTATGACTAGATGCTGTGTTTTTAGTTATATTTGAAAGTCTTAGTATGCATACGTGGTATCAATGGCTTAAGTGAGAATATGTATGCAATAAACGCTCAATAAATTGTATTTCTTAAAATGCGTTTCTTAATAGTCCAAAATAGTAAAAAAACATGTTATGTTTGGACAATGGGCTAGGTTTAATAAGCGTTTACTTTTTGTCGAGCGAAAAAACCTAATATTAATGAGACTCACTGTATGTTTGAGGAAACAGTTTTTACGGATTCTCAATTTTCTTTGAATCGCACTTTGAAAGCTCTTGAACTTATATACATTAAATACACGACGTGTATTTTACAAATAGACCTACTTTTACGTAGATTGTCCTTCAAAATACTGCAATTTTTTACTTAAAAATCGGTAGAGCTTATGTATGGAAATGTTAAAAATTTTCCTTCTGGAATGTAGCTTGCTAACTAAAGTTCATCATGTTTTATACTGCCATTCTTGCAGGTTTAAGTGGTTCAAAATTAGATATAGAACACAGACGGGAAACTTTCGGATCGAATGTCATACCACCAAAGCCTCCGAAAACTTTCCTGACTCTTGTATATGAAGCCCTTCAGGATGTTACTCTTATAATTTTGGAAATTGCTTCTTTGGTTTCTCTTGGATTATCATTTTATAAACCTGCCGACGAAGATACACGTAAGTACTTTTTACTATATTCTGCTTTATTTTCTTGATATATTTTTGTTTAGCTGTTTTGCAAGAGGAAGAGGATCACTATGGTTGGATCGAAGGCTTAGCTATTTTAATTTCTGTTATTGTCGTTGTCTTGGTTACTGCGTTTAATGATTACTCTAAGGAAAGACAATTCAGAGGACTGCAAAATCGCATAGAAGGGGAACATAAATTTTCAGTAATACGTAGCGGAGAAGTCCAACAAATTTCTGTTGGCGACATTGTTTGTGGTGATATTGCTCAGATAAAATATGGTGATCTTCTGCCAGCTGATGGCGTCTTAATACAGAGTAACGATCTTAAGGTACAAAAAATAAAAGTTGTATAATAACTGTAAAGAATTATTTTATATTTAATAGTAGTCACAATAGCACTTATTTCACAGGTCGACGAATCTTCCTTAACTGGTGAATCAGATCACGTAAAAAAAGGCGTTGATATCGACCCAATGGTTCTATCTGGTACTCATGTAATGGAAGGCAGTGGTAAAATGGTAGTCACTGCTGTTGGTGTCAACTCACAAGCCGGTATAATTTTTACATTGTTAGGTGCTGCAGTAGATGAACAAGAAGCTGAAATTAAGAAGATGAAGAAAGGTAATTATGATTACATTTATATACCTACTTTAAAGAGAGAAGGAGAAAATTTTACACCACGCACATTGCGAAAAGACCGGAAGCTTTCTAATGTGGCGTATAAATTCGGCGACAAAATTGTATTTCTCACTTCAAGTAAAGATAGTTAAGTTTAGGAATAAAATAACAAATTTAGATACAGCGCTTGCAGATAGATTGCTTCCAAGAGAAGACATGGCATTTAGACTAATGAATGTTAAATACGACCGTTTTATACACCCATTCATCGCAAATATTTTTTAAACAAAACAGGTTTTAGTGAAATTTATTTACGATCAACAAAACAAAACCGTTTAGAAAGAACAATTATGACAGAATCCGATACAAAGTTAAAACAAGTAAGAACCTTAAATTCGGACGTGAACCAATCTTTTGTACGCATCACCGTTATCCTAGAAAAGACAAAAGAAGTAAAAGAACAAAATTTTCTTGCTTTTTAGTATGGAGTTTTTTTTTATTTTCCTTAAAAACCTTTTTGTCGCATGGCAATGTGGACGTGTAGATGTGCCGTTTGAAAAGTTTAGATCAATTCCAAATTCCTTTGCAAATTTGCAAACAATATCTTCATTTTCGTTAACTGGAGAATGTTTACCACAAATACTGCGCAAACAGGCAGATGAATTCACGAACAGGCGAATATATTTATGTTTTTTCTAAATTTGAAACTGGCCAAGAGTTTGTATACTTTAGCGTGTATTTGAAGATTTTTTCTGCATGTTATGAAGGTGTTGAAAAAACAAATCGAATTTTGATATTATTAGGTAGGTGTGGTCAATTTTTTTAACATTTTGGTACAGGTACTACAGAATGCCCAGCGAATATACTTAAGTTTTTGTACATTTATTTGCTATAGTTTATGAGTAATGAGCAAAAAACCAACTTTTCATTCCTTTTGAAAGACAAAAGTGTTCTCAGATTACGTAATGCTGTGAGCCTGTCGTTCAACCGATTTGGCCAATTTTCAATGCCGACCTGCGTGGAAGAATTTCCAATGTCTTAAGGGTAGAATTTTTTGTATTTTACTTTGACAGAACTGTTTACATTTTACTTTCGACTTCTCAACTCTATTATTTTTCAATTTAAATGTTTTTGTCCAATTAACTCCGCCTTCCGCAAATATTCTATTTATATACATTTTTACAAGCATATTACTATTACTTAAGTTCATGGCTTCATTTTTAATCCGTTAGCTTGCTTTCCCGCTAATCTTTTCCGTCGGCCGGCAGCTGCATGACGCCCCGCGAATTTGCACTTGGTGTTGCCCTCGCCAGGGAAGTAAAAGTCGATAAAACAAAACAAAAATATGGCGTAGATGGCGAAGATGTATCGCTAGCAACGTTTGCGCAACAAAATTATTGAATAGTATCAAAAAAATGCAGCTGTCCCACCATTGTGTTCAAAATCTAGATTAGGATAATCTTATGCACTTTTTGTGTATCTGTTATCGAAAACAGTAACTATTAATTAACTGCTATTTGTAAGCGAGCTCTTTCATTCACATTATTTGTACAGGCAAAAATTTTGTTAATGCTTTTTTTTATGACGTTACATTCTCTCAAACGTTTGCAAGGCAGAAGCATACGCAACCCCGTGTTTCGAAGTAAATATGTGGCATGGCATACATGTAAGTTTGTATGTACGAAAAAAAAACAAACAATATATGTGTATGTAGCAATTGTAAATTTTTTTTCTCTTCATCGTTTATTCCACATTGAAGAATTCTATGTTCGCCAAATGCCCCGACAAATTTCAATGAAAATTTTCGTATGACGAAACATGAAGAAATTTTTTTTGTTTAAAAAAAAAATATAGTTTGTTTTTTCTAAACATTTTATATATATCTTTACCTTTCTTATATATTTATTCATCAAAATAAAAACTAATTCAAAATACATAAGCTAGGGCTAATGACTAGTTTTTAATATTTTATTCATGCATATAATTTTTTAATTCTGAAATATAATTAATATAATAATTATATAATGTAAAAAGGCGCCGGGTAAAATAACTCGTGTAATATGGAATGGTGAATAAAATATGTTAAATATTTGTGTGTTAGCAAATAAAAGTAACAAATACATAAATAAAATAAGTAAATTAGATGACGATAAACTACAACATAGTTTTTTTTAATAGAGAATAGAATTTAGAATTCTTCAACGTTATATAAACGATGAAGGGAAAACACAATCACATTTGCTTCTTGCTTTCAAGCTTTTTTTACTCATGAAATGCTTTTCGCATACAAAGTTGGCCTTTTTAGGCAATTCGAATCCTAACCAAGTCGCCCATGCTCTACCAAGCTCACTCCCAAGCGCAATAAATAATATACTACAACTATTCGATGAATGATGCATCATGGAACCGTGCATTTGCATGCCGTGTGCTACACTGGAGGCTTGGCATGGTGGATAACTTTTCTCTAAAAAGCTACTGAAATATAGAGAATAAATTATAATGGAAAAAATATTTCTTCCATACTTTGTAATTCCTTCACTTTTTATTTATTAATACAAAAAATATGTGTAGTAGCACCAAGCCGAACTTTTAAAACTAAAATAATTTATTAATCTTTCTTATTCCATCGAAAAAGGAACAGTTTAAAAAAGAGTTATTATAAATTTTATTAGTTCATTTTATAATAAATTAAACAAAACACCAAACTTAAATTTCGAATCCAATTACCCTTTTTACATAGCGAGAATATAAAATACTACTCATTTCAATGCCAAAGCCACAATCATATGCCGTAACTGAATTTAATGTTTTTCTTACATATGAACACTTGGTATGCATGCCTTTGTTTTTTATAGCCATTTTTAACATCTTTGACATACTTTGAATAAGTTTCTTGGAAAAATTTGGTTCAGTTTTTTTCCATTCGTCACGAAGAGCTTTCTTCAAATCATCCTTGTAACTATAGTGTGCTGGGGAATTTTGCTATCGAGATAGTTCCACAAATTTTTAATAGGATATATAGCTGAACGCTGGGATGGTGTTTGCTTTCGTTGAGTGGTTTATGTCTTGATCTTTAACCATTGAAATCATTCTTGTTTAACATATTTCTTATTTTTGGTCGGCAACATATTGTTCCTAAATCCGTTTCGTCAATTCTGCGAATTTTGTCGCACTTAAAAAGGGATCCTTTTTGACTTGCCGCAGAAGATATTGCTCATCGTCCACAAACAAAATTTTATTGCTGGCTACTCTTGATTAATGTTTAACACTTTTTTTCAGTTTTTATCGCTTTATTGAATGATGATTGAGAGGCTTCGATTTGCTAACTCGAATATCTCTCGAGACCATATTTGTTTTTTTTTTTGTAGAGTTGAATTGTTGATTTTCTTACTTCAACACTGGTTTATCTTCTTTCTCCTCCCATTTCACTTTTTTAACAGGTGACCCAATTAAACTTTGTTCATGCCAATTGATGCGGTAGCTAATACTCCAACAAAATGGAATGGACTTACTTTTATAGCACATTTAGTTTTGCTCAGAAACAAGTTTGAAAATCTCTATAAAGTATAAAAATTCTTGGTTGGTTTCAAATTTGGAATACTCCTAAACATGTCTGCCTATTCGCGTGTCCATCTGCCTGTTTGTACAACTTTGTAGTATTTGTGGTAAACATTCTCCAGTTAGCGAAAATGAAGATATTGTCTACAAATTTGCAAAAGAATTTGGAATTGATCTAAACTTTTCAGAGGACACGTCGACGACGCTCATATGTTCATAAGACAAAAACCTTTATTTTGAAAATAGAAAAAATTGGCTGCGCCCAATCCATCTTACAGAGCATGAAAATTTTGTTCTTTTACTTCTTTTGTCTTTTTTAGGATAACTGTGATGCGTAGAAAAGACTGGTTCCCGACCGGATTTAATTTTCTAAATTGTTACGTTTGGTATTTTGATGTGAACAATTTTTTATAAGCAAGTTTTCCTTTTCTTCGGAGAATTAATATTATTTTTCTGTACATCTAACTATTTATTAACAAAAAATTTTTTATTATAGTTATCCTTTCTAATTTCTACTATACAATATTTTTCCTATTATTAATTCTTATTTAAAGAAATT